TCAGATCTTATTACAGATAGTTTCAGAGGTTGTGTGTCTGACTCTCACTGCGGTCCTGCACATCACACCAAGTGGTTAGAGGTCAAAACAAAGTCGCAGCTGAGCGTGTGTGCAGCACATGACTTGCTGCTCTACCCTCTAATACATATAGTACACTATAGCTCCACTCACTATTTATTTTCTTGGCTGTAACTTTAGACATAAAATTAAAAGATGCCAGATTTTTTTCCCCCATCTCAAATGGAAAAGATTTGCAGAGTTACCAGGTTTCCTTCAGACGGCAGTGAGCTGGGATATTGATGGGGGTGTTAACAGCTGGCGGCAGTTCAACTGACACACACACACACACACACACACACACACACACACACACACACAACACACACACACACACAGGCAGAAACCTGGAACTGGTTAACCTCTGTCTCCATCACTGATTTCACCTCGTTTTCTCTTTCTGTCAAACACACACACACGTACACACTTTCTCCCAGGTTTTTCTCTTCTTTCACCTTCTCACTTTGTTTCTTTTGTTGCTTTACATCTAAGTTAAGTATCTTACCTTTTATTCTTTCCCCTTCCGCTCCTATATTTATTTTCTTGCCCTGCTTTAATTATTTTTTTTCTCTCTACACCCCTGCTTCTCCTTTACATACCTTCCCCCCCTCTACTTTTTTATCTTTCTTCCTTCCTTCCTCCCTTTTCTGTAGCCTTTCTGTCTTACTTAATTCATCTTTCTTTATTTTACTTGCTCAGTTTCCCTCCTCAGTTGGTGGAAAGCTTTTTACCCAAGTATCGTACTTCAGTACAATTTTGAGCTACTTTACTTGAGTATTTCCATTTGTTAATACTTCTTCTCCAACACATTTCGGAGGAAAATTACCCCACGACATTTACTTGACAGCTTGCATTTACATTTAATATTAAGCTTTTTGAAAATAAATGATAAGATGATACAATGCATTGCTAAAGATTAAACCAGAGGTTCCCAATCTTTTTGGCTTTTGACGTCAGTGTCGAGAGTGTCTCTCTCTACCAAAGCATGATCGACCCTCTAATCTTCTCAGATAATTTAATTTAAATTGTTTGTGGCACCAAGAGGTAAAATTATCCAACATTTCATTGAAAAGCAAAGATTAGACAGAAGTAAAAAAAAAATGAATACAACTTTGTTTAGCAGAACTTTGTTTTATCCTCTTCCTCCTCCCATTAATCAACTCACAACCCCTCAGGTTTGCTTTTACTTTTAGTACATTTAGCTAATAAGTATTTTTACATTAAAGGGATACTTCAGGTTTTTTGGAGTAGGTTTGCACCAACTGCTGTCCATTGTAGGTAAAACACTAATTATGGATAACTACCTCATACAACCATACTCCAAAGAACCTGAAGTATCCCTTTAGTGTTTGGTCATTTTACTTAAAGAAGGGATCTGAATGATTCTGAATTAATGTGTTTCTGTGCTACTATTTTACTTTCTCTCTTTTATTTACTATATATAGTTCAACTTCCTTTCCTTCTCCCTTTCTTTCAAATTAACATAAAGTTATGAGAAGAACCTGACTTTTAGTCTCAATTTGTTTCACAGAAACACATGACTTATGTCTTGAGAGTAGGTGATGAGTCAGTTACTGAGAATATGTGTTAACAGGATGTCACACACACTTATCTCTCTCTCTCTCTCTCTCTCTTCTCTCTCTGCAGTATAAAAGACAAGCTGGTATCAGTTTTGACCAACTAGAGCTTGTGTGTGTTTAATTAGGCATGAAAGATTTGTGTTTTTAAACCATCATCTTCATTTAAGTCTCTCTCTCTCTTTCACTCTCTCTCTCCTCTCTGTCTCTCTCTCTCTGACACTCACATCCCTGTGTTTCCGTCAGCCTGTGTCAATCAACTTGAATGACTTTCTCTCTCATGACCAGACCCACATCCTGTGTCTCTTAGTAATTCTGTCTTTCACTGTTACTGCTCTTGGTTACAGCAAAGCAGCACACAGTATTTTCTTTAGGGTACTGCAGACTGTTCTCTGTACACTGGGGCCAGATGTAAATGCATGTGATACAATCTTATGATCATTTAATAATATGAATATTAATAACTGATCATTTTGAACCACACTGATATATTATCCCCATTAAGTTGTAAGGCTGAGCAAACATTACCATTTCTGGCCACTCTGTCAATGTAAATCTAATATTTACTCTCTTTCAGCTCTGTGTTTGGTCTCCACCAACTTCCGATGGAAATATTTGGCTCTTTAGCTGCTATATGCGCCACTATATTTACCAGCTAGTAGCTAGCCTGCTGGCAGGTAGTGTACAGTGGGTTTTTAGAGGTTTTTAGAGGGCAAAAACAGATTTATAGAGCTGAAGGGAACTGCAGAGTCTAGAGATAATTCTCTCTGTTTGTTCATCCTCTTTCTTATACAAGTTCTCATGTTAATATTAAAAATATTTAAGATTGCTGCTTTAAATGCAGGTTTAAAAGGTGTCCACTTTGGTACACTTTAGAGCAGTGACATAACATTATTAACATTTCTATCCACAAATTTGTGTTTAGGGGAGAATAAAGAGCCAAATAGGACTATGACTTGATGTGAGACTGATGTCTACGATATTCACTGTCACAAAAACCAGTAACCTTCAAGCCACCACAGGCTTTCCTCACAGACCTGAGTCAGCTGTAACACCTAAATAGCACACGTTCCAATTGAGAGTGAATAAATACTAGTTAGCCACAGCTAGGATTTTAGAAATATTGTAGTCAATGAGTCCAGATTTCATTTAATTCTGTAAAATAATTATTATAAGGGATCTTTCACATTCACAGTGTAGTTGCAAAGCTTTTTCTGCAAGTATGTAACTATAGTGGAGAATCCCTACTGCCTAAAACAGACTTTTAAAGACATTTACTCCAATCAGAGTCACACAAATCAGCCTTTAAAACTACAACATGTGTAATATGTGAACGTAAACTCCACTTGATGATATTAACCCCATAGATTTAAATAAGTATTATTTAGGACATGACCTTGTTGGCCTCAATGACAGCTACGGCCTTTATTGTCAAGTGAGCAGAAGTTTAAATAGATAGTTTACACTAATAGACAAATGGTTGAATTATCAGGCTTCTGCCACTGTATGTGCTAAAAATACAAATGAAAGGTTGACCAAACCTACTAAAACAAAAACAGATAAATGAGATAAAGCCTAAACATCAACAATTTGAGGATCTATAAATCTTGAATTAATTCAAATGTTATAGATCCATCCAGTGTGTTTTCTATGCAGTAAAAATCAAACCAATGAACCTATCTGACAGGGCTGTTCTCCAGCAATGTTATAGTCCTAAAATGTTCCACTGGTACACTTCCGGGCAACGCATGTCAAAATCAACTTAAGTTGAGTTCTTCTAACATGACAAATGGTGCATGACAGGGATTTGCAGCCACTGAAGGGCAAAGCACCATTTTCACTTTCAACGGCACGTCACTTTGTCAAATGTTGAGTAAACGTCACAAAGAAAAAAAGAGCCAATGAAATTAGAAGAATACTCTTCTTGTTTCACCAGCCAACTATGTGTTTGTATAGAAAGGAAGTTGACTCCCTTCCAGTGTAAACAAATACAGACTACAGAGTAAACAAGGACGGGAAAGCTGCAAAACAACAGTGTGTGATGAAGGATCCAAAAAATATCGAACAAAAAGTGAAAATTTATGATAATGTAATCATGTTAATATTAATAATAATGTCAAAAATTATATAATATTATTGTTTTTTTTGGGAAATGTATTTACGGTTACGGTTTGACAAATGTCCTTTCTTATATATGCTGAAGATGTGTTCCAACAAATGATGGCAATGGCTAACATTGGATAAACGGGAAAGAACCAAAGGGACTTGAATACTTTTAAGGACAATGAAATGTCGTGTCAAATGTTCAGTTACATGTAATCACCTTTATTTAATTAACATGACCAGGCCTGAGATATGTCATAAAAAATTAACGGCTGGATTAACCAAATTAAAATTTAAATTAATTTAAGTTAATTTAGTACATTTTCTAAAATGAACACTTGCCTAATAATGAGTCCATGAGCTTCCCAGCGACTGTAGCTAGCAGTAGTATTTGACCTCCTACACGTACAATACACTGTCGAAACAGTTATTTTATTTTTATTTTAGTTTATAGGTGTATAAGATCTATCCAATAGTCTACAGTCTGAAACATTTTATAGCTACCATTACTGTCCACTGCAGGAAAGAGAAAATAACTTCTATATTTAGAGATTATGCCCTCTGACATAACCTGAATTGCTTTTGCGTTGCAAGTGTTTTATATATTTTGCAATACTAGATGAAATAGATTATATGTGAATGTAGAATATGTACAGCGTTAATGGTTGTTCGCGTCGTCCCTCCCGACCAGAAAACACGCAGTTCAGCCCACCAGCAACTAGTTTACATGCTTCACTTCCCTTTTAAATTGTACAAATAATCTTCAGTAGTTAGTTTTTAAGACTGCTCTCTCATTTTATTTGAGTAAAATGAACATTTAACAAAAAACAGCAGAGTTAATAGGCCCTAACACAGGAAATTTAACTGCTAATCATGATAACATTTTTAGAGATATCGCCCACCACTGAGCACAGTGCATTTCTGTTGTGGAGGTAGATTCCTCAAAGGGGGTTTCCCCTTTACGTGACTACTCAGTGCAACACAGAGCAAACCACAGCTGACTTCTACTGTATTTTGGTTATTTTACAATACAAAGCACCCATCTACAGATCCAATCCAAAAGCTTACAAATCCTCTCAGTTAATTTAACGTTTACAGAATATACGATATGACAAACATATTCCAAAATTGAAATGTAATCCAGAGGATCTGTGAAGAAGCGTTTGATTGAGGCGTCAACATGAGGCATTTTATTCTGATTGGGCTCCAAAGACAATAAAAGCCTCCATGTTACTGTAGCTACAAATTCACACAGACAGAGACCTGTTTCTCTCCCACCTCCATCTTCCAGCGGCTGAGCCATTCTTCTCTCTGTCTCCTGCTGATGTAGTACGGATCCCCAGCCTGGAAAGTGACTCTGGGGACAGGCCTCCTCCGCAGCCTCCCAGTCTCACCCTGCACATACATACGCACACGAAAAGCTTGTTACATGCTTAACTCTTAAATCTGCATGTACTATGAGTGCGGTTTTCCTTCATTTTTGGATGTGAAAAAAGAAAAAAACATCAGAAGCAGGATATAAGCTGCTTTTCTCACCTCTCTGGGGGAGTCGCAGTTTCTGTCGTCTGGCTCGTCTGCAGGAGAAGAAAAGTGAAAGGAAATGGCCCATTTGTACAGATTTAACAAGAGCTTTAATGAGGAGGTAAAGCCATGATTTTCATCACTTTGCCCTGGCATCCATATTTAAAGTCGAAATGCCTTCAAACACTGCAATCTGGAAGTTATTTGACTATTTAAATTTCAGGTAAACTGACAAGTACTCCTGAAGACCTTTGGGTAAATAGTTTTTTATTAATTAGGCATTAATCATTAACTTAACGTTTCACATCCTTAAAGCATCTAAAATGTAAAAAAAAAAGTGATCTGTTGTGTAATTTTCTTAAATTAAAGGCTTTTAATTATTGTATAAATGAGCAAAGTCATATTATTAGAATTATATGACTTTGTATTCTATACCCTTATTCTTCTCGGTTTGCTCTAGTTTCCGACGCCCGCGCTTCTTGCGAGGGGAGGGGGAGGGCTCCGGCTCCTCAGGCGGGGTTGGGGGGGCGTTTGCACAGGGGTCAGAGGTCGCCATCTCCTGGGAAACAGACGGAGCACAGTCTAGGTCTGAGAAAACTGCTGCTGGCCCTTGTCTAGACTCATCAAAGACCTCCATAGACATAATAACTATACACACACACGTACAGGCCTTATACTCACACATGCACACACACACACACACACAAAACTCATGCATACACACACTATCAAAGAGCTACTGCAATACACGCACATACCTATTAGAGTCTGCCCTTGTTAGTACAATGCAGTGCAGATACGTCCAGCAGAGTGTGTCTGCATAGGATCAGTATAATAAACACCCCCAGCTACCATTAACACACACACACACACACACACACACACACACACACACACACACACACACTTCTGAGATGAGAGCAGTATTGATGTCGTTAACAGTGCTAATGATTAATGAGCACATGTGGGAGGAACACCTTGTGTTAAATGATGCTCACCCCTCATAAAATTAGGTTAAAATTATATATAATGTAAAATAACCTTAAAATGAATACTTTCAAACAAGTATTTACACAGCAAAACATTGAGATGACAGTATGCCGTTTGTTTAATTGTGCATTCAATCTCCCGTGTACATAATCCTGTCTCTAATTCAATGGCTTATCCATTAGCTCACCAGCATTAATGATGCTAAACGCTGATCATGTGTCCGCTCTAAAAGGCCAGCAGGATTTTTATGTGTGTGTGTCGCTAACAGGCGAACAGATTTTATAGATTGGTAGTTAGAAAGTGGAGAGCAAGGGTGAATGTCAAGCTCAAAGGCTACGCTAACACTAGCTCGGACTAACAAGCCCACAAAGGCTGTAATGAGCAGGTGAGAAGGCCTGTAAAAGGCTGAGAACACAAAAGGTGACTAAAAGGGCCTCAGGGCAAACTTAACTACACCAGCACACATCAGCACTAACACTGGGTACTTAAACAGGAAGGTTTTCAGTGCCCAAAACATCCCACCTAAACACAAAAATCTATATTTTGCGTTAATGTGTGCTTGCCCTTTTGTAAAAAATAGTTTTAGATAGCTATGTGCATGTGTAGGGCCATTTATCTGCCACTGAATCTGAAAATTAACAACAATACTCTAAAAGGCAGATGGATTTTTATGTCTCCATTTTGCAAATAGATGACAGTCAGCTCTAAATTTAAAGAATACTACACTATATTAGAGAGTTGGCTGCAGAATATTAGATTACTTCCAATAAGTCTCAATCAACTCTCATTAAAAGTGTGTTTTAACTGTGTGAAAATGTATAAATTATGTTATGTTATATGTGAAAAGCAACATGTTTACTTCACGTTGGGACAAAACACTGGGAAATGAACTGCTGAAACAAAAGTAAAGAGACTGGACAAATAACAAAGATATTTCTGTTTATAGCATTTCATAGAAGCAAAAAAGTCAAAACACATTCAAAACAAATTCAAACTAAACTCAAAGCAGTCAACTAAATTCAACCACTTAAGTCAAGTGGTTGAACTCAGTGTAAAACTTGCTACATAAAAATCAACCAGGTGCTTCTTTATAAATTAGCTCACATGAATTTAAAAACTGTTCGCACAAAACAATCCAAATCATGGCATGAATTAACCGAGATGAAAGTAATATGTTTCTTTAAAATTAAATCAAAATGAGTGCACCGGCGTCTATCCTGTGCACATGCAATACCATCACGTGCCCCTTGATGTGAACACATGGCCTTAGCATTTATTGTTTTAACCCCAAACGGAAATTAAAGCTGCATTAAGCAATTTTTAACATTAGGAGGCAAAAAGACTCTGATACTATAGCAACACCTACAGCTAACTTTAAGGCAAACAACTGACTACTTACACATTCAGCAGAAACAGAGGAATCTGGACTTGCAGTCATCTTTTTGGTCACATGTCGAATGTAAATCCAATTTCAGCCCTGGTTTGGTCCACCAACTCCTGAGAAAAATATCTGGATGTCTTTGGATTGCTATATGTTCGACGTTCTTCAGCCACTTCACAGCCTCTCCGCCATTTTGCGCTACACAGGAAGTGGTTTGATTCAGGCCGGTGAACCAAAACTATAACCTTAATGCGGCTGCAGACTACAGTTTTGACTCAGATCACAAAGAGTCATTTGATTCAATGCGCCTATCAAAGAAATTGCTTAATGCAGCTTTGAGAGAATTGTACTGAGAGAATTTAAACACGTCAGAACTTACTGCACAAGACCAAACACAATCTTGCCCTCTTATGCATCAAACTGTAAGAAATCTTCATAATTTGATAGTACAGACAAAAAGAGACAAACACAGATAGTGCTGCCTACATGTAACCTTGTGGTCTATGTTGTCTTTCACTTTTTCAAACACCTCCTGCTGTCCTACACTTCCTGTTCTCTTTCTGATATTGAATGACAGAGTGGAAAGTACCTGATTTTTACTGTGCACAATATAGCAATCCAACCAAGGGCAGTTTCTTTTTTAACTTGGATGAAACTTTGATTATACCCAAGGGGGGAGGGGGCTAAGGAGAGAACAGGATGCAGCAAACAATAAAACTACAGTGCACCAAAAATAATAAAATAAGCAGTCACACCAAGCTAATACAGCAAAAAAAATGCATGATTGGGCCAAAATGTGTCTGTTTTCAATATCAGTGTGACAGATAAATGTAACACATGTGTGCAAAAATATGTGCACAGCAGACATTTGTTTTTTTATTTCAGTTATTAGTTCCTGTCACAGTAGCCGTGAATCTCGTCCAGATTATGTTTTGGACATGACGTGATTTGGAGAACTGCCCAAACTGCACATGTCACAGCTTTAGCGGTGTCCTGCTTTACATCATAGATTATTATTTATTATTATCTTCAAGCTTGATACTTTTTATCACGTATACTTTTAATACGTTTTATTATATTTTGTTTTGATTTGTTTGCTTTAGTTTTGCTAGCTAACACTAGTTATTACTAAAGATAGCTACTGTGGCCATGTTGGTCAGTGTAGCTATCTCTAGTTATCCCTAGAGTTTTCAAACTATCTAACAAAGTAATTTCTTAACAATAAAAACAAAGATGAAACATAAAAACCTATTTTTTCCACAGTCCAAAACGCAAAGATATTCACTACTATCTACTTCTATCATCTATGACAAAGAAAAGGATTAAATTCACACATTAAAAAAATCTGGAACCATCCAATGTTGATGAAAAAAAAAGACTAAAACAAATACTTGATTATCAAAATAATTGCTGTTTAAATCTCTGTTAATCAGCTAATCTACGTTGCAGCTGCAGTTTCTATTATTTTGTCCACTGCACTTAAATCAATGAGTGTAGACCAAATGACAGAAACATCTGCAAAGATTCTGACCTCTGCTGGAAAAGGTCAGGCGGATCTTTATCCCTTTAAATGACGGTGAATATCCAGATTAAAGTCATGATTCAATTATTGTTTGCAGTAAATTAACGTGATTGTGTGGTTCGTAACAGCTTAAAGGACAATTAAAGGACCAGTGTGTGGGAACGGGCTGTGAAAGAGAAACTACGGTGGCAACGAAACCCGCGAAAAAGGAGATAGTCCCTACCTTTAAGTTAATTAATACAGGATCTCAACACAAGCTCAGTTGTTACTAGTTGTAACTTAAAAGCTGTTTCATTTTTTGACCCAAGAAAGTCATTTTTAATTTGTGAGCTGACTCATGGCACTTTTTGTCAAACACAACCATAGTTTTTTCCACACTGTCTCTGTGACCTTTGTGGTTTTGGCGCAAAAAGGAAACATCAAAAGAAACCAGATCAAGCTGCATACATGCCAAGATCAAATCGAAAATTCTAGCAATGAAGTCACGCTTAGTCCGAATTAAGACCTTAAGTTTTACATGAAAGAAATTCCAGTAATGATAGTTTTGCTTTACTCCTGATAAAGTCTAGCTATTAGTGTGCATGAAAAGTTTTATTATTTCTATCAGTTGACATCAAATCTGACTGTGGTTGCAAGATGATTTCCATGTAAAAGCATTGAATAAATGGTGGGAAAGGTGCTAATGTGTCTCTTTAGTCCTACTGTGCTACTACTCTGAAATGTTTAAGCAAAAAGCACAAGCGCAAACACACGTACACATGCATAAAGACCCACCAGCTGCTCCGCACATGGGAGAGAAACGAGGGAGAAAGGAAAGAGGAAGAGGCCGACACCTTAACTAACTTATAGTGTGAGTGTGGAACAAAAAAACCAGCAGCCAGATAAAATGCTAAACAATAAGTGTGAAAGGAACAGGAAAAAAGATGGAGGCTTGAAATAGTTAAGGACCATTTAGCTAATCCACTTATCCATGAAACTATCATCATCACTGTGATAATATGTGCGTTCGGGGTAGTGTATTTGTGTAAATGTGCGTGCATGTGATTACTTGTAATGGAGGTGAACGGGTGAGTGAAGGAGACAGAGGAGTGAAAGTGAGGCTCCCTCCCTCTCTGCTCTCTATAGTTAGTGTCACTGACTGCTCCACCCTGAGCACCACACAATGGCTCTATTCCTGGACACACTCCACTGTGTGTGTGTGTGTGTGTGTGTGTGTGTGTGTGTGTGTGTGTGTGTGTGTGTGTGTGTGTGTGTGCATCAGAGAGAGAGAGAGAGAGAGAGAGAGAGAGAGAGAGGGAGAGAGAGTTAATGGCTAACATACTGTGCGCTGGGCAAGAGGCTTCTTATATTATACTCTGATCCAAGAATACTACATGTGATAATACTGCTGTACTAGTACTGTCATCATCAGTAAGCATTACCTAACCTACTACAACAACTAAGGTTGTTATAGGTCTGTTATACTACCACTAACCCTATGTCAACACAGCAGTGTAAGCAGTGCGTGGTGCTGCTGCCAGTCTTTCTACATGAGTTTGTCCTTGATAAATACAATAATACAGCCTTGTTAATGTATGAATAGATTCTGTCCACAGAAACACAGAAGAGCTTTTAATCTCAAACAGATACAGGAGGTGTTGAGGTAAGCTCACGTCAAGGTTCACGTCTGTGACATATTCCACAGATGTAGACATCGAAACTGTTGTGAATGGTTATGTTGTTGCTGGTATAATGTCGATGTGATTATTAACAGATCACTTTCACTGTCTGTTTTTGCTGAGAACCGCCGGCTGCACGTAGAATAAATAGGCAAGATCTCAACTCTTCTAAGTAAAGTGTAAACGTGTGACACACACAGCTCACACGGGCAGTGTGGCTGCTCTAACCTGTTAACATGGGGCCCAAATAAAAAGCAAGACGTTTCACAATACACACACACGTTGCTCACGCATGCTGTGTGGAACGGGCTTTACACGGCTACAGCTTACCTATACTAGCCCTACTATGTAGTCCTGCTACCAGTGCTACTAAACACTACTAAAGCTACAACTGCTGCTACATGTACAATATATGACCACTACAGCTGGTACTACTACAATGCTACCACAACTACTATTTTCACTATCACTACTGCTACTACTAGTTTAACTAGTCTACTAGCTTCAATTACAACTATTACACCACTACTACTATAATGCTATTCTAACCACTATTATGCTACTATCAACACCATTACCACTACTATCTCTACTGCTACACCTACAACTGCTGCTACTGTTTGAACTATTACACTATTATTATTACTGCTACTAAAATTATAATGTCTACTACTCAGTGTTTCCTCTATGTTGATTTTGGAGTGGCGGCCGGCCGCTGTTAAATTTCTGCTGCCACGGTATCAGAAATGGGGCAGACGCACAATGTAGTTGTCAAAACGTTCGCTTTCTTCCAAGTCGACTATTAAACTAACAGCTCCACCAAAAACGTCACCGCGGTGGGTCCGTTTTAATTGGACAACGTTCAACTTGTCAGTTCTCAGCTCAACGTCCTGATATCAAACAAATGGAAACATTAAAACGGTAAGTGAGTCACTAATATAATATTAATTAAACTAATATAAATTGGAAATAGTCTATAGATGTGGTCATAGATGGAATGATGTTAAAGTAAATAGTTATGTTAGTTTAGGTTTTAATGAATTAGGCTTCACGCATGCACGAAGGCCACAAGGCCGAAACGTTTGTTACCCCCTGTTCGGACAGGCCTGCCCCAACTGCTAAAAAAATCCTAGAGGAAACACTGCTACTACTACAGTACTGTTGCTTTTATATTACCACTACAACTACTACAGTACAACTACAGTTATACTATCACCAATACTACTACTTTAGTACTATTATGCTCCACTACTGCTGCTATTCAACTTCGTTGAATCTAATAAAGTTGAATCTAATCAACTACTGCTATTTAAACTTCTATTGCAACTAATATATTAATACTGCTACCACTAAAATGATTTTGCTTCTACCACTACTGCTGGTACTATTACTACTACTATAAATATTACTCTAACTATCAACACCTGTATTACTACTACTGTAGTAATAGAATAACTAGTACTACTGTTACCACTACTATTACTACTGCTATGGGACACTACAACTACTACTATTGTACAACTACAACTACAGCTGTGTTAGTTGTGCTATATCAAATATTACTACTGCTGTGATCGATGATGTTATTACAACGACTACAAGTAGTGCAGAAAATACAACACTAACATGCAAACCGTTTGTTACGTGTAACACATTAGTCTGCACCCGTGTGTGTTGTATGTGCACGTTTGTGTTTGTGTATGTGCGTTAGTATCTGTGTGGCAGGACCAACATTAATCCTGCCTCCCTTGTCAGAGCTCAGACATCAAAGCATGATCAGACTTGCTCTCCTGCACACATGAATGCACACACACACACACACACACACACACACACACACACACACACACACACACACACACACACACACACACAGATAACACACTCACTCTCACAGTAGTTCACTCGGTATTCCTTTCTGTTCGGGGTTGTTTGATCAGCTATATTGACTTGCTGATTCGACCACAGAGTTCAGTCAGCACAAAGACAGGCAGACACACACAAGGTGAGCGATAAGAGGATGAATGGAGAGAGAAAAATAGAGGAGAGGAGCTGCCAAAGATCTGAAGTCAGAGAGCATTAAGAAATATAAAGTATGGTGTCATTACAGTAATAATGCAGCTCTGTAACACCACTCACAGCTTATTACTGCCGGCCTAAAGGTGATTGGAAGGTTGCCAGTTCAAACCCCCAATCAAGCTCACACAGAGGAAGTAACGCTTTCACCTTGTGAGAAAGTAACAAAACTCAGTCCCCAACTTTCTTAAAATAAATAAAAAACACAGTTGAAGTGGGAAAACGTTACAAACCGATTATAGCCACTGTAGTTGTTATACTCTGTTGTCTGATCAGTGCTGGTTATGGCTTAAAAAGATCGGTGACCAGTGATGAATCAAAGGTCTCTACATATTCAATCTTCCTGTCCAACATACTGCTTTATTTTGTTCTTTGAATATATGCTGAGTTTGATCTAGTTGGGTTTGTTTATCCATTATTTTTTGTTATTCTCCATGACTTGCTTATGATAAACAGGTAACACAAACAGGTGATCTTGCTTATATGTCCTTTGTTCTAACGTCTTTCCTGCATAACAATTCAAAAATAAACCAAACAGGATTTTGAAAACAAGAAATCTGCTAAAATCAATCGTTATTATAACTTTCTTCCTGCATAGTTTCAGCCATCATTTCTATCAGTTATGATAATATTGTACTTAACAGAGTAATTTAGAGAACTCAGAACGTGGCAGTATCTCTAAAAACAGGTCTGACAAGTAGACGAGAATAAGAAGACAATCATACAGCTTTAAAGTGAGCCAATAGCTTTGTCAGATGAGCTACCACGTTGCTAATAATCCCTCACAGGAAAACCACGAGGGTGCAAAACTATAGAAAGAATGGTAGGTCGAAGTTGAACCAGGAAGTTCAGCTGTAAATTGTGGTGGATGCTTAGAGCAGCCAGTTTGAGTTGCCTAAATTAGTTTGTATCAATGCGACTTTGATCCTTTCTGACTTATTTTTAACACTGTTTACACATTCTGAGCACTTAGCCATTACTCTGGCGAGTACAGTGTTAACATAATGTAAGAGAACTTGTGAGGTTTATTACATTTTCTTTCAACTTTAAGCAAACCGGTAACAACAAGTATGCGGAAAATGTGGTAGACAGATCCAGACTGAAAAGTAAAAATGGTGACATCTACGAGGAAATGCAACTAGCATTACATGTTGAGCATATGTATTGAATGTTGAGCCCTGCAACCGCTTAGTGTGTATGGGAATCCCTGTTCTTAGACACACTGCTAGAAAAAAAAAAGTCTAAATTTAACACAAAAGAGCAGAAGTAAAGCTACCAAAAGAAGCTGCTGCGAGGAGGCAAGTTCTCTGTCACATTATCTGTAAAACACACTCAGATGTGACAATTAATTAATGCAGTAAGTGTGTCTAGTGTTCTGTGTTATTAGAAAAAGCTGATCTCACTGCATGTGTCACTCAGCAGCTAGCAGGTGGAAATACATAAATGTGAAGCAAAGTGTTCCTGGAAACAGTGCATGCATGTTCAACATATCTTTTCATGCTAGACAGGGGAATTTTGTATAGGTGAATAGATAATCAATCACTCTGCTGCAGTGTAGAGTATAAAAGGCTGACGACAGCCTGTAATTACAGTACTCACAGGAAGCAGCTGTTTGCGTTTCCTGCCAGGACGACCCACTCTACGCTTGGCGCGGGGGCTTGCTGGCGTCCCCTCCTCTGGACTGTCCTGGTCTGCTCCATCTTCACTCTGGCCAATTATAGAGAGGCCACATCAAACACTGAGTCAATCCAATGATCGTATGAAGTCATAATTGATGTCAGCAGTGAGGCAAAACAGGAGGAAATAAATAAATGGTAGCACACTCTTGACAGCATCTGCAGTTTTTATAAAGTTTCACATTTTTAATGACATTTTCACCAGAAAACAAAAAGATTTAAAAACAAAGATCTCAAAACCCAGCCAAATTCTTATCGAACAAAGCAGTTCTCGAAATATAAATGGAAAGAATATGAAAGAAAAAACTATAAATTATATGTTTGCAGACATGAAATCCGACTTTGTTTAGAAAAGCAAACAGGACGGATGTTGTAGTGTTTCTAAATCTGCTCTGGACTGATCTAAATGTGGATATGCAGCACAAAAACTCTCATAAGATAAAAATGAAGACGTTACATTTCGATCATCATTCGAGATCTTTTAGAAACCTGTGGAAACGTCAGTGACATAATACCTTTTAATACCATCTTATATTGATTAATTCATCCCAGCAGTTTGTTCCTGTGCTCAGTACACAGCAGAGACAAGGTGGTATGGTACAGAGTTTTAGAATAGCAGTGGTATAATTTTACAGTGATATATAAAATAAAAAAACACACACAAATTTGGGACTTGACTTGTGACTTGCAATAAGAATTACTCTGTCCCACCACTGCCTTTTTACCTCATGATAGTTGGTGTTTTCTCATTATATTGACATAATCATAAGACATTAATGCACACAAAAACAGCCAATAGATAGTGGCTTGAGAGGAGGGGATTTCTGAGTACAGAGCCCCACATACACCAATCACTGTTTGTTCACTCCCTCCACTATCACGTACCAAAATATCCATCCTCATTCACAATCAGATTTTTTCCCAGAGCTATAAAACCGCTCTCTCCCACTGTGGGTAGATGCAACCCCCTCCCCAATAATTTAAGGGAACAACCAAACCCTCAGTTTCTATTTTTACTTTGGATCTGGGCAAGATTCGAGTTGCTGAGAGTCTCGTGTCTGTCCAAAGTTTTATTGGATCCAAGAGGACGTTAAAGAGCCGAATGAAATAAGCAAGACCTGCTGCATCTTTAGTTAAGCAGCGAAAACTTGAATGAATTTGACTGCTTATGTTTGAGCTTTTTTGTTTTATTTTATGAGAATCATATCTTAGCCAGGAGACAAGAATTTACCAGCCGCAGTGATTTTCATTATAGGCTCTTTTATCTGTATTTGAGCTCTCTCTGTATGCATTGCAGCCTCAGGCAGAAATTAAGTAACTGTTACAAGGAAGAACCATTAGACTCTTGTAATGCAGAAGTGAACAAGGCAGCTTTAAATGTACCAGTGAGGATGAATATTTTTAAGCGTTGGTTTTCCAAACTTGTTCAAAGCTTGGTTAAGAGGCAAATGGGGTTAACGCAAAGTGTGTGAGAGTGTTAACGATTTCCTTGGGGCATATTTAAGATTTTGGTGCAGTTGCTGTTGGGTTTGATGGACTGGGTTTTCTTAAGTTTGAGTAAGACATTAAAGGTTGAATACACCTTAGATTGGGGCTGGGCGATACTACTTGAAAAGACTATCACAATATGATAAAAGATGTTTTCCACTATTGATATATTCACTAAATTTTAAATTAATGGAGAAAATAACCAGACGGGAATGTTTGTGTTTGGCAAATCCAGCTAATTAAAAAGAGATAATCATTTCATAATTCAAAAATCCAATATTGCCAGAAAACAGTCTTGCACATTGATTACCACTATCCACAATGGTCTAATTCATCCAGAGATACTTGAGAGATTAAAGAATATAAACAATATGGCAATATCTGACTGAATTTATATCGTCTCATGGTATATCTGGTGTCTTATCGTCCACTTGTTCCACAACTAGAACTTTCTTATCTCCATCAGTACCTGTGTTATACTGTGTCTTACTGTTTATAAGACACACTGCTCTGTAGCCATTTCTCCTGCTCTGTTTGTTGTGTTTAGACTGTACAGGAGAAACTGTCACAAGTTTTGTGTCACACTGTAACTCTCAGAGTTAGTTTAATAATAACATCCGCTCTGTTTCTCGACTCTCTTCTCTGACCTGACACTGTACGCTGCCTGCTCTCAGCCTTGTGTTTCCATTAAAGTCTTCCTTTCTCTCTCTCTCTCTCTCTCTCTCTACTCTGCTGGACCCTCTGTTGCGGTGACAGTGGAGTGGTTGCTAAGGTGCAGAAACTGCTTAGCAACTGTCTCCAATGGGGCTGCCGTGCTGACTAAACATTCTGATGTCACTTCCCTGACGATCAGCATAGCAACCAGCTAGAACGGGTAATGGGCCCTGCTCCTGTCTGCCTGGTGTGCTGTCCATATGCCTGTTATCACGACGCACACTCGCAGACACACGCATTTTAATGCTACAAGTGTACTCAATCATGTACAGAAAGTGTGACAAGTACAAAAAACAATTTAAAAAAGCATACAACTAAGTCAAATATAGATCGACAGAGCAAGAAAACCACTAAACCAAATCCCTTCAAGAATGTGTCAACACACACAAAACACACCAAACTCACACACTGGCCAATCTGTCCATATATCTTTGGTCTATTTCTGTCTCCCGGCAGGTTATTTTAGGCCACTGCAGTTGCTAAGCAACCAGACTGCAAACCAGGCGAGCAGAGGAGGATCCCATCAGCAGCAGACGGCTTGTCCTCTTTCTTTCTACCCTATCCCCACGTCCTCCTCTATGTCTCTCTCACGTTTTCTTCATGGGGCTCGTTCCTTTTAACTTTCCCCTTTTCTGCTTTCTTTCTGTTTTTCACTTTAAATCTACTGTCAACAGAACAAATACTACACTTTCTTTTATCTAGCTTTAGCCTTCGTGCAGATTTACAACACTGAAACACATCAGTAGTACAGCAAGATACAGCGCTATACCAGTGTTAAAATTATCAATATTTACACATTTACATGCATTTACACACGGGCATGTACAAATTCACAACACAATGGATTGAAAATTACAATTGACCTGAATCCTAAGCGCCATTATCCCCTAGTTACTCGTACTTTAGGTCATGTCGAACCACCTTTAGTCAACAGAACACCAAGTATTGCTTTTACAGATCATACACATCTTTTTACAATCGATGTCTAGTTCGTTGTGCTATATATATATATGCTGTATTCATAGGCACTTGGCAGCCAAGGCATTGAGGTCTCTGCTCAAAACAAAGTAGTTCTTGTATTGTCTAACAATGATGTCAATTTCAGAATCAGGGGGCTGAATATTGGTGTAAATTCCCAAAACAGACAATCTGACAATCAATTTTTACGCAGTAACTGGTGAGGTATGGGAAGGTGACTAAATAGGGTTTGAACTTCTCTCTAAAGCTTTATTTATTTCATTCTTCACACAATTCAATACATTTTGATTGTAAAGCGTAGTGAAACACTGTTATTACAATCCATTGCATTGAGACAGCTACAGGATCGTAAGTTTGATGCAGCTAGGAGGAGGCTGTGAATTCAGATTGTTTGACCCACCGTTCAGAAAAGGTATAAACATTTTGCTTTTAGTCTTGATCAGACGCGTCATTAGAGCTAGTTTGTCTCAGGCATACTGTAGCCTTAAAGGTCCAGTGTGTAGGATCCAGTGGCATCTAACAGTGTAGTTGCAAAACCCAACTTCACGCATGAAATGCCATTTTTTCCCTCCCAATACCGATTCCAATACTCTTGCTGTGGGTATTGGCTGATACCGAGTACCGATACCGATACCAGTGTGTTAAAAAAAAGAAAAAAATCATACTATGCCTGTGTGTGATACTGTGATACGATTATCATTGTGGTAAGGCCTGGCTCAGGTTAAACCCTTTGTAAAACATGAATGAATACAGCAAATGGAAGCCATTTATTTTTAAAATGTATTTATAAATAGAACAGTATAAAACAATAGTGCAACAGCAACTTAACTAAATAAATATAGGAATAATTATTTAACAAAATTAAAGTGCAGCCACAATATTGTAAAATAAAAAAGGCATTACATTTTTTTAATAGAACAGTATAAAACAGTAGTGCAACAGCAACAGCAACTTAACTAAATAAATATAGGAATAATTATTAAAAAAAATTAAGTGCACCACATATTAAAAAAAAAGCATACATTTTTAATAGAACAGTATAAAACGAGTGCAACAGCAACTTAACTAAATAAATATAGGAATAATTATTAAAAAAAAATTTAAGTGCAGCCATTATGTACTAAAATAAAAAGGCATTTAAATCCTTAAATAGTGCAGTATTTAACAATAGTGCAACACCAACCTATAAAGCAAACATAAAAAAATACAAATCAAAAGAGCAGCAACTACACAGTAAACAAAAAATACTTTAAAACAAGTAGGCTACACATTGCAGTAGCATTTTTAACAATTTAGTATTGCTCATAATTTCAAGAGCAAAGGCAGATTCTTCAAGAAGATGAGCATTTCTGCCCTCTCTCCTCCTAGCCTGTTCCTTCTTGCATCAACAACGTTGGACGCTGCACTGAACAGTCTCTCACTGTCGACACTGGTACAAGGAGCACAGAGAAACTTTGCAGCAGTGGCAGCCAGGGTGGGAAACCGAATTTGGTTGACTCCCCAGTACTGGAATGGGCTGTCTGAGCGTGGGACCGTTAGCCTTGTCAAATACGTCTGTATTTGAACTTGTGTGCTTGTGCTACTTGCCCCATGTTCCTCATCATGCTCGTGCAGGATTTCCTCAAACAGGCCTTTCAAGCTGCTCTTTCTGCTGCTGCTGCTGCTGCTGTCTGGCTGTGCTTCCATACGTGGGGCTTTATGGGGGTTTTCTGGCACTGTCTCTGCTACCTCAGGTGTGGTCCTGCTCAGTAACGCCTCCATCTTCTCCACCTCTCGGATCAGAGCATCCTTGGCATGCTTGATGCTGTCTGCACCTGTGAAGTATCTGAAACAACAATGAAAAATAATAAA